TCGATTGCTAGTGGATTTTACTCTCACTCGAAAACGTGCAAAACCTACTCACTCTTATTCGATTGGCGGAGAAAAATGGACTATACTTCATGTGTTTTTTACTAGGTGTAGAATTCATACACGAATTTGAGTAGACCTTTAATAAAGACCCTTCCGGTCATATACTTATACTTTTGACCAGTATATTTATTATGTTCAAAATGACAATATATTCATAATGTTCAAAATTACGGCTAAAAGATTAAGATGAATTACGGAAAAATGTTGATTTACTTTGGGTCCTCTTCTCTTATTATCTTTTTGGCAACACTGGTATAAACAGATAACGCAAGTTTCATATTTTGTTTCAATTTAAAACATCATCAGTTTTATCTTTAATTTAACCATGAATTTACAAAGGAACAACGCTTGGAAATCATTGATTTTTATTATCAAAAGGCCTGCTGCGTTAAGAATGTTCATGTTCATCGAAACTCATTGTTGGTTCAATGGCTACTTTAAAAAGCAAATTGTCGACTTTTGGAGTGAAAATCAGCCAGAAACATTCAAAAGCTACCAATGCATACAAAAAGATTAGTACGTTTCATGGGCTGGTGGCATCTTTGGTCCGTAATTTTCAAAGATGAATCGTTACGTAACTGTGAATGGTGAGGGTTGCCTTGAAATGACATCCAATATTTTTGTGTCCGCAATGCAAGAGCAACAATTCGGTACCACGTGCCACAAATTACTAGCAACAATGGACTTTATGCGAGGCGAATTTGGTGAACATTTAATAACGCTATCTTTAGAACGAATTGAGGTAGAATGCTAAAATTTTGCACTCCTGTGGCAGAACATTGTCTATATAGCTCCACGTTTTTTATAACCCCCATTTAACGGTACGTCCCGCTATTCGGGTTTCTGATAACTTTAGCCACATTTTTAGGAGAATCGTTCGAAAAGCGGTACATATAGCTTGTAATGGGTTCTGACTTCTATGGCTGAAAACTGCTGAAATAGGCCTACTATTTTCTAACTTTGGTGATTTCTAACTTTGGTGATTTTAGTGACATTTTAACAGAAACTCGCAATTAAATACAACTGTAGTGGAAAACCGGTAACACAGAGGTATTTTGAAGACTTTTTGCCAACCAATTGCGAAATGTAACTATTCCCCATATCGAATCCCGAAACTTTATTTTAAAAGTTTTCTTAACCTCATTTTAAACCATGGTGTTTCCTGTCTTACCTCTTGGTAATTATTTAAATTTTTCTTCACTAATATATAATAGTTGCTTACATATAAACAACCAAAATGTCAATAAGCCTGCCTATTTTGAAACAATAATTGATATTTCTTTCCCCAAAAATAGCCAAAAAGAGGCAATTTAATTCTGAACAACCGTGCTTTCTACCATTGCATGGAGGGTAAGCATTGCTTTTCCGTGAGTAATAAATAAAATAATATGGTATATTACCTATTTTACGATATCTTCCGATTTTACGAATGTTGGAGGTCCCAACATCTCTTTTAAGTGATATCTTAAGGTACAATTCGGACAATTTTTTATCAACCTTTTAAACCGCTATAACTACGTTTTATGAGGGTTTTTAATTATTTCTCGAGAAAGGGCTCAAATAGACACCTTTATTGAATTGATTGTGGGTTATATTATTTACAGAATTATTCTACGTATTTACATCTTTTAATATTGCTTGAAACAATATATGTATAAAATCCAAGAAACGGAAAATAACATAACAGTGGAATATTTACCAAAGTCCTAAAAGGTGGTAAGGTAAGTTAACTTAAGTGGGCTTTTATGTCTAAAATTTTGTGCACCGAGTTATGTGCTTTGATGGCCTTAAACACATCACAACCACTAAACCATAAAAATATACGTCTTAAAACCCACCAAATAATAAATATTCAGCGAAAGACCGTTGACCCCTTTTATTTGTTTTGTAAATAAATGTGTTGCTCCTTTTTAGTTTAATAAAATGAATTAATATTCAGCATAAAATTTTAAACTTGGTCCTCCAATAAGCTATATTTGTATTAAAAATGTATTTTAAGAAAATTACACAATTAACTTTGCTTTAATTCCCTGACCTGCTGAATTGAGGCAAATTTGATGTTATAAATAATTTTATAAACACCAAAAAATATTCTGCATCGAACTTCACTATGAGCTTCAGAATAAAAGAAATCTACAAATATAATAAATCGGCACAAGAGCACTAATTAAATAATTTACTCTAAAAGTAAAATCGACTGAAATTTTTTTTACTGATTTGTGTGTTCGTGTTTTTAAATTTTGCTGTTGACTGAAGGGGGATATCTCGATAAAGGAAAGCAGAGAAAAAAGAATAAAGTAAAGTAGCAGTATAAAGTAAAGGCAAATATGGTCAACAATTTTCCTCGACGTATTTGTTTTTGTATTGTTTGCACTTACTTACAATTAAAACAAAGCATGGCAATAAGTAAAGTTTTACAGAATCTTCTCGATTGCTAGTGGATTTTACTCTCACTCGAAAACGTGCAAAACCTACTCACTCTTATTCGATTGGCGGACAAAAATGGACTATGCTTCATGTGTTTTTTACTAGGTGTAGAATTCATACACGAATTTGAGTAGATCTTTAATAAAGACCCTTCCGGTCATATACTTATACTTTTGGCCAGTATATTTATTATGTTCAAAATAACAATATATTCATAATGTTCAAAATTACGGCTAAAAGATTAAGATGAATTACGGAAAAATGTTGATTTACTTTGGGTCCTCTTCTCTTATTATCTTTTTGGCAACACTGGTTTAAACTGATAACGCAAGTTTCATATTTTGTTTCAATTTAAAACATCATCAGTTTTATCTTTAATTTAACCATGAATTTACAAAGGAACAATGCTTGGAAATCATTGATTTTTATTATCAAAAGGCCTTCTGCGTTAAGAATGTTCATCGCACGCACGAAACTCATTTTTGGTTCAATGGCTACTTTAAAAAGCAAATTGTCGACTTTTGGAGTGAAAATCAGCCAGAAACATTCAAAAGCTACCAATGCATACAAAAAAGATTAGTACGTTTCATGGGCTGGTGGCATCTTTGGTCCGTAATTTTCAAAGATGAATCGTTACGTAACTGTGAATGGTGAGGGTTGCCTTGAAATGACATCCAATATTTTTGTGTCCGCAATGCAAGAGCAACAATTCGGTACCACGTGCCACAAACTACTAGCAACAATGGACTTTATGCGAGGCGAATTTGATGAACATTTAATAACGCTATCTTTCGAACGAATTGAGGTAGAATGCTAAAATTTTGCACTCCTGTGGCAGAACATTGTCTATATAGCTCCACGTTTTTTATAACCCCCATTTAACGGTACGTCCCGCTATTCGGGTTTCTGATAACTTTAGCCACATTTTTAGGAGAATCGTTCGAAAAGCGGTACATATAGCTTGTAATGGGTTCTGACTTCTATGGCTGAAAACTGCTGAAATAGGCCTACTATTTTCTAACTTTGGTGATTTCTAACTTTGGTGATTTTAGTGACATTTTAACAGAAACTCGCAATTAAATACAACTGTAGTGGAAAACCGGTAACACAGAGGTATTTTGAAGACTTTTTACCAACCAATTGCGAAATGTAACTATTCCCCATATCGAATCCCGAAACTTTTATTTTAAAAGTTTTCTTAACCTCATCCGAAACCATGGTGTTTCCTGTCTTACCTCTTGGTAATTATTTAAATTTTTCTTCACTAATATACAATAGTTGCTTACATATAAACAACCAAAATGTCAATAAGCCTGCCTATTTTGAAAAAATAATAGATATTTCTTTCCCCAAAAATAGCCAAAAAGAGGCAATTTAATTCTGAACAACCGTGCTTTCTACCGTTGCATGGAGGGTAAGCATTGCTTTTCCGTGAGTAGTAAATAAAATAATATGGTATATTCCCTATTTTACGATATCTTCCGATTTTACGAATGTTGGAGGTCCCAACATCTCTTTCAAGTGATATCTTAAGGTACAATTCGGACAATTTTTTATCAACATTTTAAACCGCTATAACTACGTTTTATGAGGGTTTTTAATTATTTCTGGAGAAAGGGCTCAAATAGACACCTTTATTGAATTGATTGTGGGTTATATTATTTACAGAATTATTCTACGTATTTACATCTTTTAATATTGCTTGAAACAATATATGTATAAAATCCAAGAAACGGAAAATAACATAACAGTGGAATATTTACCAAAGTCCTAAAAGGTGGTAAGGTAAGTTAACTTAAGTGGGCTTTTATGTCTAAAATTTTGTGCACCGAGTTATGTGCTTTGATGGCCTTAAACACATCACAACCACTAAACCATAAAAATATACGTCTTTAAACTCACCAAATAATACATATTCAGCTGAAAGACGATGATTTCTGTATCGCTTTGTTAAATGAGATCTTTTTTTAAATTTAAATATTGTTTAAGACCGCTGCAAATAAGTTTAGTAAGGTACATATTTATTTAACAGTTTCTCGCAGCAATCCGTAAGATCGTTATATACATAACGACAGACTAACTAACTAACTAACTAACACATTAGCCTAATTGGGGTAAATTGTGAATGAAATATTTTGTTATCACCTTCTGTCTAATTGAAAGTATAAACAAACTGCAGTGTTAGTACACATATGTTGTTGATGGTAATAGCAGTTAATTACACAACTTGATTGATCTGTCATTGGTGTTCAAAACATACCCATTTGTGCTTTTCTTTCTCATTATAATTCTTCTGTATTATCCACCACCGGTCAATCGGCAAAACAAACATACTACTCATGTATACTTCATGAGACACATGACTGGCATAACATGGGTGGAGTCAAGTATTTAATGATGTTAACATCGACAGACTTGTAGATAGAGACAGATATAAACTGATAAATAAAAACAAAAGAGACGGTAAATAATCGTTCAATATTGAGATGTGTCAGTCTAATAATAACATTACGAAAGAATTGTTTGTCAACTTAAAGTCGGTAAATGCTTAACCAGAACGATCGTGAATGCCAAAGATAAAATATTCGGTACGGAAATTGTGGTACTTCAAATATGGATACGATAAAAAAGGAGGAGAAAAAACGTTATTCAAAAGTTAGTACGTCTTTTAGCATAGAAAGTATATTAAAGACACCACATCAAAGCAATTTTAAAGTAAACAACTGTGATGTGAAAAAGGCACATCCGGCTGAAACTACTTTTTCTGGCCTTCGTAAGTATTTTTTTTTAAATCTAAGATCAAATTCGGTTTCCATCTAATACTTTGAACTATGTCCATCGTATTCAAAACCAGATCACATTTTAATATAGCTGTGTTTTCATTTATAGCCAAAGTGATAGTTTCTATATTTTTATACCCTCCACCTTGAAAAGGAGGGTATATTAACTTTGTTAACATCACAAAGTAATTATATTCATGATCAGCATAAAATTCTAAGTCGATTAGCATAAAATTCAAGTTAAGTCCAAGTGAAATATGCGCTAATGAAGACTATATAACCATATAACGGTAACTTCCGATATTCAGTATTTTGATGATTTTAGTTACATTTTTCCACGAAATTGTTCCAAATTTGGTATCGGGTTCTACTTCCGGTGGCAGAACATTATCTATATAGGCCCTCGTTTTTCTGTAGGGTCCATATAACATTACCTATCGATATTCTGTATTTTGATGATTTAGCCCTATTTATAAGCAGAATTGTTTCAAATTTATTATTAAGAGTTTATAACGGGTTGTACCTCTGACGACTGAACATAGTCTGTACAGGTCCACGTTTTGCTATAGCCTCCATATAATAAAACCTACAGATATTCGGTATATTTATAATTAAAGCCACATTTCTATTGAGTAGTTTCAGAATCGGTTTTAAGAGTTCGTAACTGAAAATACTAATTTCGCAAAAATACTAATTTCATTGGAAAATTTTTCTTAAAGCATCAAAATGATTAGATCTGCAGGCCCTGATATATGGGATATAGTTTTGAATATTATTTTAAAGGTGTTTATTTTAATGCAAAAAATGTCCAGGGATTCGGTGAACGAAACACCACAGCAATAACCCACACAACGAGAGACATTCATATCTTTAAACCAAAAAGTTGGTAATTTAATAGATTGACTGTAGTTAAATCCAATATTTTTCCTTGGGAAAGTATAGTTTTTTTTTTGTTCAAACTCTTCCTCTGTTTGTTGGATTGCCACTATATGGTCTAGACGGATGTGTTCCACATTTGATATTTAATTTTTATCTATTTGTTTTTATTTGTTATCCTTAAAAAATCTCTTTTTTCCAAAATTACTATATACATGGTTAAAGATGTAGATATAAATGGAAGGTATAAAATAAGATAAGGATTGATAAAACAAGTATGCGAAGGATATAGTCGCATAATTTTAAGGGAATAAAAAAATCCCTCAGAATGTATCTCCATCGATATATATAAAATAAAGTTACATTAGTTACTACGCTTATAACTCAATAACAGCTGACCTGATTCTGACAATTCCCACCATTTTGGGATGGTCTCTGCTAAGAAATAAAGAATAAAAAATACGCCAATAAAAATAGTTTGGTAATTTATTTTTTTAATAAGAAAAGGATTCAAATTCTTCTGGGTTCCCAGATCAAATTTTTTTAGGGTGCATTATATATTGCATTAACCATACATAAAGGGCTTCTAAAATTTTGCTCCATAATTCGAAGAATTTACGATAGAGATTTACATGGGTTTCATGTAAAATAATTTGTTGAAAATAGGCGTTATTTGGGTATAGACCCACGTTTTGGTGTAACTCTTATATGAAGGTATCCCCTTGCAATATTCAAATTCGACTTTCAACAATAGTTTCGTGAACATTTTCAATTTAAAGATTTCAATCAAGCCGGGCCGAACTTTTAATACTCTCCACCATTTTAAAGGATCTTGAAAAGTGTCAAAATAGTTTGTCGAGGACACCATTTAAATGGGAACCATTAATTGGGGCTATTTGTCATAGGCTGTAGTACCGATTCCGATCTTCAAATACGAAATTTGAAACAATTTCTTTGAAAAATGTCGCTAATATTATCAAATTTGAAACAATTCCGGTGAATAATGCTGCTAATATCATCAAAATTTGGAATAGAGGGAGGTACTGTCTTATGTGAGCTACGTACAAAGACGTGGACCTGCACAGACAATCTCCTGTCATAGTCTGTAGCATACATTACGAACAGCAAATACCAAATTTGATGCCGATTATTATTGTCGCTTAAATCATGAAAATACCGAATATCGGTTAAATGGGGGATATATGTTATCGTAGATCTATGTAGACAATTCTCCTTTAGGGGGCGAAGTACTCAGAAGGTACTCCTGGTGCGAATTTTTTGACAATTCCATTAAAAATGTGGTTAAAATTATTAAAAAACCGAATATATTGAAGTACCGTTACATGGGGTATATACGATATCGTGGACCCATATAGACAATACTCTTCCAGGGGGTGAAGTACTCAGAAGGAACTCCTGGTGTGGATTTTTAGACAATTCCATTGAAAAATCTGGCTACAATCATCAAAATACCGAATGTCGGAGGGCACCGTTATATGGGGATTATACGATATCGTAGACCGATATAGCCCATCTTCGACCTGCCTGCACACAAAAGACTGATCTGTGCAAAGTTTTAGCTTACTATGGTTCTTCGTTTTGACTCTAGGGTGATTACAACAGACGGGCCGACGGAGAGGGCTATATCATATATATATACTTTGTTGGGTCTAAAATTATTATTTCGATGAGTTACAAACGAAATGACGAACTTAATATACCCTCCATACTTAATATACCCATACTATACAGGGTGAGATGAAAAACTTGCAACCAAAATCAGACTGCTGTCATTTCTAAGACACTCATCTGACATCTGTTAAAATTATTCCAGTGACAGCTCATTATATTGTTTACAAGCGTACAAAAGCATTTTGGTGAGAATTTTCCAGAAAAAAAGTTATTCGTGATTGAGTGTGATTTCTTTATATTTGGCTGGCTGGCTATCGTTAGAGCACTTCAGCATTTAAATGTGAATAAATCTTTTGTGTCTCAACGTCAAGGAAGTGGAAGAAGCGACTTGATCGAAACCCGTGTCGCAGTGGCCGAAAAATGGCTCGTGAGCTGAGCATATCGTAAAATTCCATTCGGCGAATATTCAAAAATGAGCTCGGGGTAAAGCCATACAAATTCCAAAAAGTGCAAGAACTTACACCGCAACAGAAAGAAATTAGACTCAAAAGAGCTAAAGAGTTGCTTCGCTTGGCCGAAAGTGGTGAACTGCCGAATTTGGTTTTCTCCGAAGAGAAAATATTTGTTGTCCAGCAGTTTGTAAACAAACAAAGAGGTCAGCTCAAAATGTACACCTTCGGTTGGCCACTAGAACTCAAGCGCCGGTCATGGTGATGGTGTGGGTCGCTCTCCGCTCGTACTAATCGACCGTGGTATCAGAATAAATGCCGAATATTATCGCGAAAATATTCTGGGGGTGTATTAAAGCCTTGGGTACGCAAACATTTTGGCCGCAGACCTTGGACATTACAAAAGAACTCACCACTATCGCACTCAGCACGCGCCACCCAAGAATGGTTACAAAATGAGGTTCCTCGCTTCAGCGCAAAATGGCCACCAAAATCTCCGGATACCAATCCGTTGGACTATTGTGTGTGGAGTATCTTTCCAAACAAATAAATACCAAAGTGTCGATCAGCAGGCGCTTCGCCGGGAATCGGCCAAAATACCGCAGAGCAACATTCGGTCAGCGTGTGACGGTTTCATTGGCCGTTTGAAGGCCATAATTCTTGCCAAAGGTGGCCAATTCAAACAAATCTAAACGTATTCTAAAAGTTGATGCTTTTTCCGACATTTTTTGCCTTCATTCAACAAAATTAAAACAAAAATGTAAAAATTATGGCATTTGACTTTGTTGTTCATCTCATCCTGTATATGGTGGAGGGTATGGAAAACATAGCTGTTTGCGTTGCAAAATGAAAGAAAAAGAAAATAAAACACAAGATTTGGTATTTTATTTCAAAACAGTCGTGGACTGATATCTTATTGAATAATTGTTCGTGGAACAATTAAAATTACCTTTTTTACAGGATGTAGGGATTTCTGGTGCTCTTCGATCGTGAACCAATGAGCGAGTCACTTAGCGAATTAAAAAAAAAAAACTCACATATTTAGCCATGTCCGTCTGTCTGTCTGTCTGTCCGCCTGTCTGTTGTAATCACGCTATCTTTCGAACAAATTGAGATAGAAGGCTAAAATTTTGCACACATGTATATTTTGCCAGTAGGCAGGGTAAGTTCGTAAATGGGCTATGTAGGTCCAATTTATCATATAGCCCCCATATAACGCTACCTCCCGATATTCGGTATTTTGATGATTGTTTCAAATTTGGCATTTGAAGTTCGTAATAGATACTACAGCCTAAGACAGAAAATAATCTGTGCAGGTTCACGTCTTCGTATAGCCCCTATATAACGGTACCCCCCGATATTCGGTACTTTTGATGATTATATCGACATTATTTAACGGAATCGTTCCAAATTTGGTATTTGAAGTTCGTAATAGATACTGCAGCCTAAAACAGAAAATGGGCCATGTAGGTCCACGTCTTCGTACGGCCCCCATATACCATACCCCCCGATATTCGGTATTTTGATGATTTTAGCGACATTATTTACCGGAATCGTTCCAAATTTGGTACTTGAAGTTCGTAATAGATGCTGCAGCATAAAACAGAAAATGGGCCACGTAGGTCCACGTCTTCGTATAGCCCCCATATACCGTACCCCCCCGATATTCGGTATTTTGAGGATTTTAGCGACATTATTTACCGGGATTGTTTCAAATTTCGCATGTGAAGTTCATAATGGATGAAGGTTCACGTCTTCGTATAGCCCCATATAACAGTACCCCCCATATTCGGTATTTTGATGATTTTTCTTCAAGTTTCGCATTTAAATATTGTAATATCTTATGACAAAAGTTGCATATTCAGGCCCATGTCGTCGTATAAGCATTCGGTATTTTTAAGATTTTAACAGAATTTTTAACGGATTTTATATTTTTTTGGAAAATTGCCAAATTTGTACCAAATGGTGGAGGGTATTAAAAGTTCGGCCCGGCCAAACCTACAGCTTTTTAACTTGTTTTTTTTTTATTTTTCTTA